TGGGAAAGGCCTGGGAAAGAGCTGGGAAAGAGGTGGGCAAGAGAGCGTCTGGGTAAGAGAAAGAGCTGGGAAAGAGAGAGAGCTGGGAAAGAAACAGCATAAATGACATTCTTACAATACTGGAAAACAGCATCTATTCTTTAATTTTTATTTATTGTGTGTGTGTGTGTGTGTGTGTGTCTTGAGGCTTGAACTCTGAGCCTGGGCACTGTCCCTCAGCTCTTTAGCTCAAAGCAAGCTTTCTACCTCTTGTGCCACAACACACTTCCGGTTTTCTGAATGGTTGATTGAAGATAAGAGTTTCATGGACTTTTCCTGCCTAGGCTGGCTTTGAACCATGATCCTCAGATCTCATCCTCCTGAGTAGCTGGGATTACAGGTGTGAGCCACCAGTGCCTGGCTATTTCTTCATTGTTTTAGTACTGGTCATGGGGCTGGAGCTCAGAGCCTGGGTGCTGTCCCTAAACTTTGTTGCTCAAGGCTACTGCTCTACCACTTGAGCCCCAACTCCAATTCTACTTTTCTGTACTTTACCCCTCCTTTTTGGGGGGATGCGTTATTGGAGATAAGAGCATAGACTTTCCTGCCTGAGCTGGCCTCAAACCAAGACCTCCAATCAGCTCCTTAAATGGGTAGGGTTAGAGGCATGTGCCATGGCACCTGTCTTTTTTTATTTAAAAACAACCTGAAGGACAGGAAGAAGATGGTGAAAAACAGAGAATCGCCCTAGCACTCGCCAACCAAACAGAGATTTGGGACCTAACAAGCAATTCTCCCCGAGACATCAATAACAGCGAATACACAATCACCGGAACTGAAAAAAAAATCCTAACTTGTACACGTAAGAACCAAGAATCACGAAGCCCCCTCGACCCCCTAACCGGCCCCAGCAGCACAGCTACACCAGAGAGGAGGTCCTCACTGCCTAGGGGTCCAGGACCCAGGAAAGGACCGCAGCGTCCAGACCCACAAAACTCACCCAGCACCTGACCGACAGCACAGAGAGACAGACAGCAGCGCCAGCCTCCACAGCACCCAGAGAGCTCCCAGCTCCACTGGCCAGCCCACCACCTACGCTGTGGAGCTTTGAGAGGGGCTCAGCGGCGGGAGCAGCTCCACGGCCACCCAGGACTGCAGACACGACCAGCGAGACTGCAGCATTCAGACGCAGAGATTCGCCACAGCACCATCAGGCAATCCACAGCCAGTTCCAGGATCCGGAGGTACCC